ACACGTAGTATTTCAATTGATGAAGAATGTAACTTTAAATACAATTGTTTGTACTTTCATACTAATCCTTGAGTTTTATTATCAAACAAATCTTTTAGCTTTGTGATAAAGTGATCTCATCAAATTATAGTTATGGATTGAACTTCCAATCAAACTACAAGTCACAAGATGAAACTTCGGCGAGATTAATTTATGGACGAACCAATCAGGTATAAGATAACAGGTCTCGGATTTCGGGGCGAAATTTACCTGTCCAATTGGATAAAGTTTTGCCATTATAGTTCGTTCATTTTAGAAGTTGTCCGTTTTATATCAATGCTAATGGAACATCAAACTTCTTTTTCAGACTGTTTGTAAAATGATGCGATCTCAAGAAAGTTTCCATATCTTCAGAGTACAGGGAAACTTGAATTCAAATGTAATAGTAAAGCTAGCTAGTTGAATAATAAACAATGCCCCCCTACAATGAGCTGTTAAGAAATTTTCATGGTCTCACATTTGATCATAAGGAATCCTATCAAAACAGAACCATAAAAATGTTTAGAAAGCTTATGATAATTGCCTCAATCTGTCACATACTATGTTAAACCAAATGAAGAATATCAACATTAAATTGTTAGTTGAAATACGGGCAAATGATAAGAGATTTTATGCATTCAATAAATTACTGAATACTAAGCAAAGCACAAAATTTCCGGTTACGTAAGTTTTTCTTATGGTTAAGTTATGATTAACTATTCTCACACTATATGGGATCATCCAGGATGTTTTGATAGATTTATTTCTTCAGAACTGAAGAATACTTTACAGAGCCCATTGTAATGATGCTTCCTTTCGCTTGATAGAATATTCGCTTTCATATACACTCATCTACGGCTTCAGTTCAAATCTATAGAAGTGATTCTACAGTATAAAAAAACAAACTAAAAACCGTATAAAATCTATAATTCCTATATATATATATATATATATATATATATATATATATATATATATATATATATATATATATATATATATATATATATATATTCATATGATAACAAACAGAATAAAAGATCCAATGAAATAGTAATTGAAATTTAATTTTTGATCCTTCAATATCATTTTCAATAACACCTTTAGTGAATATTTCATGTAAAAGTGAATTAGGCATTAAAGATGTTGACTAGAATGATCATAAAACCTCTATAATTAAACTAACTTTGAAAAAACTCTATATTATTCAAAAGATCCATTTTAACTGAATATTCTTTTTTTGTAATTTTAACGATCCAAGTTGAATGTTTTAGCGGTATTATATAATAATCTTATTACTGAAATTTATTTTGTACTTTTCCTAGGACAACATATTACAATAACTAACTTGTTTTTTGTTTATTTTTATTTTTCATAATTCGACCTAATGAACTCAATTTTTTTTCATCAATCCAATGAATAAATATACATGGTAGTAAATACAGGTGAATAGAAAACATTAAAAACAGTGAGCATCATATACAAATAAGGTAAGACTTTAAAAGGATATATAATTTCTAATAATAACATATTTCATTATTAATTGGTTACTTGTGATGGAATGATTTTGGTGTTGTGTACAAATAATAAGAATAAAAAAAAATAATAATTAATTTTATTGCAGAAAAAAAAAGACAAATAATTAGTTAGCTAGTTAGTTACCTTGTCGGTAAATGAAATCATATTTTGTTTTAGTGTAATGTATATTTTATAATGATTTTACTGATATATGTTTAAGAGATTAATTAGTAACAATGTTGTGTTTCTGTATGTTAACTTGTTTTTTTGTTGCTTACTTTAATGGTGGTGTGCCATGTATACTTTTGTTGACATGGGACTGTAACTGATTCATATTAGTTTTATGAGAGCCAAGTCTTGTTTCTATGGCTAGGTAATACTAATACTACTGGTAACGGCGATAATAATAATAATAACAGGTGTCATATTTATGTCCTGAATGCTGGTCAAATAATCTTGATCAAGAAGTAATAAACAGCCGCTGACCTAATTGTTTCATGATATGATGATGTTACATTTTGGTTTCAGGATGTTGTCGATATCTTTTTTCTAAGATTTTATATAGTGTAGTCATGATGCTATCGTAACTTCGATATTTATTGCTAGTCTTAGCAACTTGACTATACTGAATTACTGTTTGTTTATTTCAATGATTAAGATCATGAGTCAATTGAAGCTAGACCACCATGGAAAACTTGGAAGCAGTGGACGGCCGTTTCGTCCTATTATGGGACTCCTCAGCAGTGCGCATCCACGACCTCGCCCCCTGCGAGATTCGGACCCAGGACCTACTGGTTTCGCGCGCGAGCACTTAACCACTAGACCACTGAGCCGGCATCCAACGGTGTTAATGTCTAACTTCAACTAATCCACGAAATTGAGCGACACATCCACCATTGTCTTCAGTGAGTTACTATCCCACAACAGACCTGGTTGAACTCCACTGGTCACTGCTTCTCACTAGAACTCCAGGATATACCTCTTGAAGCCAGTCACTAGTGAGCATATGTTGATTATTATCAGAAGGGGTTTTGTGGAGATTGTAGTAATTTCAATGTTTATTATTAATTATTTACGATTGATTTTACAATGTGAATATGTATACCGTTTGTTTATTTGGTTGTCGGCCTATGTTTTCTCTTATCTTTTTCTTTTCCATATTCTCGTATCTATGCTTTTGTTCAAAATTCCATTTACAACAGATTATTTATATGTTAGAATAAACTTATGTATTTTGACTCATATTTAGTACTATAGATCAATTCTTCCTGCCATTTCAAAAGCAATTTTTTCTAAGTAGAATTTTGCAGAGATATCGATATTACTGAAAGAACGTAGTAATTCATATCATGGGATCAGAAATAATTGTGTTGTATATATTCATATGTATTATACTAATTACCATCAAATTACATCGAATTGCATAGGTTCCCTAGCCCTTGTATAACATCAGTCATATTCTAATTACATTGAATTATAAAGATCTAAACCTCAATGAAATGACAAAAAGATCAAGAGTTATGTTAGATAAAGACATTTGGTTAAAATGTACATACTCCGTTTTATGTATTACTTGATACTGTTTAATAGTACATATCAACACAATTGAAGTGTAGTAGCCTATGATACGTAAAATGGTGGCTTAATAGTGTTGTGACGGGATGAAAGGTGAAAATCAGATTGATTTACTCATTATGATTTTTATTCAACATTAATTCTGTTTAATTCAATTTGATGATCACTCAGTATAGTATTTGTTTCGTTTACCCCTATGACATTTTATTCTGTATAACATACGACATTCTTGTATGAATTATTTTTCCTAAATGTGATGTATTCTGATTATTAATCAAAAATGGGTGTACATAACAATATATAACTGAGTTCATTTCCAACTACACGGGTCGGGATTGTTCGTGCTTCTGGCTGCTTGCGGAACATAATTCCTCATTTCAAACTTGGACTTCTCTCTAGTTGGCGGGGCTGGGACGCATCAGAATGGCCAGCTTATTGGTATTTGGTCACAGAGTCTTTGTTTCCGTTCGCACACTAGGTGAACTCGTAATCGCTTCAAACATAGCAAATAGTTAGGACATTTAAGTTTCTATCAATAAGAGTGATATCTAAACCTACTTAGATAATCAATAAATCCTTAAGAAAAACGTGAGCAAAGACAAGAAATGGACCAGATGCTCGAAAAAAAGTATGTCACCACAATCTACCTATGGATTCGATCATATGAACAGAAAGGCATCATATTTTATATGTATTTTTTAATATGAAAAATTGTTTTAAATGTTCGAAAATTTTAACCACGTAAAATATCAGAAGGGGATTTTGTGCAGATTGTAGTAATTTAATAGTTGAGTTCATGAGTCGAATAAAGATAGACCACCATGGAAAACTTGGAAGCAGTGGACGGTCGTTTCGTCCCAGTATGGGACTTCTCAATAGTGAGTATCCATGATCCTGAACGCGGGATTCTAATTCAGGACCTTCCGTCTTGCACGCGAACGATCAACTCCCAGACTGAAAGAGGTTAAACGTTTGCGTGCGAGACCGATAGTTCCTAGGTTCGGGCCCTGCGGGCGGGATCGCGGATGAGCGCTGCTAAGGGGTTTCATACTAGAACGGAACGGCCGTCAAATGCTTCCAGATCTTCAACGGTGATCTATCTTACATCGACTCATGAATTAAACCATTAAAATGACAACAATCTCCACCAACCCCGTTCTGATAATATTATTTCTCACTGATATTATGACTTTTACTCTAGCCAAATTTTAAAAACGCACAAATAATTATAAAAGTTTGAGTAGGCCGTTGTCTCGATCTACTAGATCATTAAAATAAACGATACATTTATTTATTTATTTAAACACATAAATATTGGTACAAGGAGGGGCGCCAAATACATATGCGCCACACAAGTCACTTAATTTGTGTGTGGGATATGTCAGGAAACACAGTCCCATGGTAGCCGGTAACGAACAATCGGTTCGTACGTCATTGGTTCCTTCAGGATCCTGGAGCCCATGTGCACCATTGGTTTGGAATCAGGGTTTTCCAACTCTCCTAGATAGACCATCCATATTCACCAACTCAGTTAAAGCGCCGGGTATTCGCTTTTCGTCCTCTCAGTTTTCGTAAACAACATTAATGCTGCGAGAACGCAATGAGTGGAACTACCCTGTCAATGGCTGTACACACAAGGCCATATGAGAGTATTTCGAGAGGGAGAGATGACTCTCTTCACCCTTGGTCGTACCAGAACTGAATCAATCATGTTTTTGTTTTGAAAATAATGTTACTATCTCTGAACCTAATGATTTATTCAAATAACTTTTGATGTTACTAGTAATGTTATTTAGAAAGATCATGAAATCTTTACAATTAAAACTATTCAACTTAAAAAACTCAACTTCTTAACTATTTAACAATAATTTATTATAAATTTAACTTACTATTTATTAAAATAATATTATGCCATATTTAAATGATTATTGATACTTATAATCCTATCTGTTTAAATACATTAGTTGATACTTCAAAATTTTTAAAAAGATTATTACATTCATTCGGTAGTGAATTCCATGTATTATTATTATTGTTATTATTACTTTGTTCATGTTGTTGTATTGTACTCGATTGAATATTTGGATAAATTGTTGACCATTTACTTTGTTTATTATCATATTCATATGGTAATTGTTTTAATGATGATTGTTTTGATGGTAAAATGATTGCATTTGTTAAATGTATAATTTGTAATTTATTAATTTCTTGATTAAATTTTACATTAGAATTATGTTGAATTAAATCAGTTATATTATCATATTTTATAGTAGATAATTGTTTTATATTCATATTATTTGTTAATGTATCATATTTATGAATATTAAATGTATCTTTAGTCAAATATTGTTGTTGTTGTTGTTGTTGTGATGTTGGTGGTGGTTGTTGTTGTTGTTGTGGTGGTGGTGGTGATTGTTGTTGTGGTGGTTGTTTATTTGAATTCAATGGATAATTAGTTAAAATATCAAGATTAGAATTATATTGCTTATTTATTAAATTGTTTCTTATATTAATATTAGATAATGAATTTAATGATTGATCATTTGATTTTATTATATTTTGTGTATAATTTGTTTTAAATGATTTTAATATAGGTGATGTAATCAATAAATGATCATTTGAATAATTTTGTTTTTCATAATCATAATTATCATTTAAAATATTAGACATATTTAAAAAAGTAAATGGTGTATTTATTGATTCTTGAACAATATTTAATCCTTCTTTGATCGAATTTATATTATTATTGTTATTAATATTACTGATAGTATCATTAGTAGCAGTAGTATTATTAGTAGTAGTGCTGAATAGGTTTTGTTGTTCTAATTGAATATCTGATTGTTTATATACTTGTTTAATATCATCAATATGTTGAGTATATTCTTCTTGATGTTTTTGTTGAGTGACCACTTCATGATGAAATGCAACAGCTGCAGCTGCTGCAGCAGCAGCTAAAGCAGCGGCATGATTTGTTGTTGGTCGAATAAGTTTATCTTCGTTATGATTTACTGAATGTGATAAATAATCTGTAGGATATGTTGTATTATTCTCATCTGAATGACATATATAGTTTGTAATTGTATTTTTAAGAGTAGAAGATGATATTAAAGAATTAGAATTAGATTTTTGATATCCATGTAAATGATAAAAATTATTATTAGTATATTCTTTATTAATTTGTGATGAATATAAATAATTTGTTTTAAATTGTTGATCTAAATTTTTAAAATGATCATTATTTGAGTTTACATAATCAATAAAATTTTGAGAAACATTTTGTGAATTATTATTATTATTATTATTTAAAGAACAATTTGTTGTATAATTTTCATGGTATTTAGTTTCTAACATAGATTTGTTTATTTCAATTGATTGATTATTTGAAAATTGTTCCAAATTATTATTTGTACTATTCACTTCATAATCCCCTAAATAATTTGTCTTAAATGAATTATTTGAATTGACAATTTCATTGTATTTTGGTCTCATTAATGATGATCCAGTATTAATATTTGAATTAGAAAATGTTTGTGTTGAATTAAATTCAATCAATTGATTTGTATGATGATCTGATTGATGAATTTTATTTGTTAAACTTGTAGATGATATTAATGAATTAGGACAATCAAATGATGTAAAATAATTATGATTATTTTGTAAAACAGTATCTATTTTGTTAGGTATCTTTTGTGAATGAAATTCATATTTATCAAAATTTAAAAAATTTGTATTTTCTGAAAAATTAAATGATTTTGTAATATTGTTGAATGTTTCTTGATTCGTTGAATAATCAAGACTAGGATTTTCTATGGACTTTAAATGTGATGATATAGTTGAAGAACAATAAGTTTGTTTATTTTCACATTTACTGTTATGTGTTGTATAGAATGGATCCAAAGTTGTAGTAATTGAAGATGTGACTAAATGATGAATCAATGAATTTACACATGTCTTATTTACTAAAGATGGATAAAATGAATCATGAGTTTTACAAGTTTCATTGAAAGAAACGATTGGATGATTATTAGAGTATAGATTATATACAGTATTGTGATTATAATCTTCTGAAGTGGTTGAATTGAAGTTTGAATTAATAATGTGACATTTTTCATTAAAGCTACATGTATTTGTTTCATAATTCGCCGAAGTATTTTTTGTTGTGTTTTCTTTTCTCCATTCTCTGGTTGACTATCAATAAATTCTTGAGTTACTTCTCCTTAATTATAAACAAATGAATATGTAAGTGAAAAGATTGAAAGCTAATTGGTCAAACGGAATTAATTTCGGGGACAACACATGTATCAAAAAAAAATCTAAAAACTGTTGGTTTTTTTTTGAGTTCAGAATACATACATGAATTGTAATCAACTAAAAAGTTTATTTACTTATTGATGGAGTGGTGGTTTAGGGGGTTAAAAGATTCAATTTTCAACTTTTACTTACCAGTTTTGAACCCCCACTTCACCTATTTCAATTTGAGCAACTGAGTATCGTTAACTCTTACACTTAGAGTCTGTTTTCCACCCAAGTGTCCTGTAAATTATGTAACTTAATTTTTTTACAATTTACCTATTTTATTCTTACTGCTATAATAGGAATTTATTTCATTTCTGCCAAAGCTTTATCTTAATATTCCGATTAGATTAAACGAATGACGGATTTATTTTGAAGTTAGTATTGAGCGAAATTGTCGGCATTAAACATCTGTCTGATGTGAGATTGAATAAAAAAAGACCCATCATTTCTATGCACATACAACCTTTAAACTGTTTAGTTAAAACCTTGTAGTTCAAACTTTAAAATTCAGACAATCTATGATATATCACAATGGCCACCTACTGTTATCAGTTTACTCCAGAACTAGTAGGACTTTGGCAGTCAATACGTCAATGGAACATAAGAAATCCATCCTAAAGCAAGTTCATTCACAATTATTGGTAACATAGAGTACTTGTGGACTACATTCAATTAAAAAAGTTGATATCAACTGGTTCTTGTCTGTTTTGATGTCAGTTCAGTAATGAAAACAAAATTCATGTTGAATTATTCATTCTTACATGAAAGCGTTTAATACGTGTGAAGTTTAAATCATAACATTCGAACCCAACCCAATGGTCCTGATGGTTGAGGGTTCGCTACAAGACCAAAAGTTATTGGGTTACATCCTTGATTGGTTCGTGAGTGTGCGCCGCTGAGGAGTCCTATATTAGAACAAAATACTTATCCAACGCTCCCTGGTTTTCAATGATACCCCAACTGAGATCAATCTGTAACGAGTACGGCTTATAAATGTTTATATTTTCTAGTTCTACACTTCGTATTTCCACCCTTTTTCGTCAATAATTAGAGTAGTGTCTGAAGCCTTTATTTCATTTTCAGATTGGTTTATTCTAGTAGCGAAATCTTGAGTTTATCATTATTATTGAAGTCTTTAATGCAGATAATAAAGCGTGTATAAATTAAGGTAAATTTTGTAGTAAAGTTTATGATGATAATCATAATACTTAATGAATGTGTTATTGTATACTCGATGAATTTGTGCAAAAGACCCAGGTGTGAGTAAGAAAAAGTCAAATCGAGATTTTTTGGAATAATAACATAATCGAACAAGGATGTTAGAATGATTGAAGGTCATCGGCAGGAATCTATTAATCTTAATTTCATGTCATTTAACATTCATCATCAAGACTTATTAGGAATCTTGGAAACCGATGCATCTCGTGAGATATGGACTCATGTTACTTAATTTTAGACGTTATCAAAACTTCATAGATCGAATCCGATCATCATCCAAATACCGGATAAACATGATATTCGTTACTACAGAATGAGAAAAATTCAACTACGCTTCTTGCAGTAATACTATTCATATATACGTTTAGCCAGCATATTAAAAAGACTATATAATGAAGATTTGGTCAGTGTACTATAATAATAAAACAATTTGAATTGTCCATACATTTAATATACAAATATACATATTGAAATAGTAACTGATTGAAAATACATAATTCACGTACTCTTACTGTTTTCTAAATATCATTCCCGTACTTCTGTAGTATAAATAGAAATCAGATTTATAATAACTATTGTAAATATTATGAAACATAAAACTGGTTCATGCAAATACATTAATTTGAATTGACTTAGCAATATGAATTGAAATGAATTGTTTATTTGGTTGTTTCAATCAACATTTATGATATACACATAATAAAATTTACTAGCTACTGGTTATAGATGTACATTGATGAAATGTGTCAGAATATAATGAAACAATTGTATATAACTTTCTACTTTTCAATTATTTTCTAATTGAAATTAATCACTAATAGAAAATATCTTTAGGATAAAATTTTGTCATTATACTGATAACAAGTTCCAATCCTAGAATAAAACAGTCATCTAATATTTCCTGATTTTTAATGCTACTCTAACTGATATCAGTTTGTCATAAAAATTCATCTAAGTATGTAGAATAGTTCATATTTTATTTGATAATGTTATATCATTACTGAATTCATCATTTAATAGAGATTGGTTAAAGTTAGACATTAACACCATTGGATGACGGATCAGTGGTCTAGAGGTTAGGCGTTCGCGCGCGAAACTGATAGGTCCTGGGTTCAGATCTCTCCAGATAGGATCGTGGATGCACACTAATGAGGAATCTCATGCTGGGACGAAACAGTCGTCTAGTGCTCCCATGTTTTGCTTGATGGTTTAGCTTTAATTAACTCATGAATTCAACAATAAAATTAATAGAGATCAATTTAGTTAATACATATTTTTACTACCAGTTTTCATTATTTAAAAATAATGATTTTAATAATTTTAGAGACAATCTTTCTTTCTTATAAATATTTCGCATAAATATTGTCCTATAATTAACTACATATATGGGAACCATATATGAATAGTTTAAGAATTATTTAAATTCATTTTCATATCAATCTACCCAAAAAGATTTGAGAGCTATTAGATATAGTATTTTGAAGACCATATAACGGTGTAATGTTTAGTATTTCACTAACATTTATATCATTATTCAGAAAACTTATAATAAAGGAAGAATGAAGTATCTAGATGCTAAACAGGTTATCTTAGTTAATCAACAAATATAACCAAACTGAAGTAGATTATTTATGCTGTAAGGTATTTGGCAAGACTACAATTTATGGACGAATCAATCAGGTATAAGATAACAGGTCTCGGATTTTGAGGCAAAATTCACCCGTCCATTTGGATAAATAGTGTTTTGGCATTATAGATGATTTCAGTTCGTAATGAAAACCCTAAGTGTAATTCCTAACCTTAATCATCAACTGTAAATCATAATTCTAGTTCCTCACACTGGTTTATAACCTTCATTTGGTCCTAGTTGTTAGGTGAACACTCTTAAGGTTACTTTGAAGTCGCTTAAAGATCGTCTATATATTATAGTCTCGCCGGAATTTGAATAAATTTAAAACTATAAGATTGTATCCAGAAAATTGTAGAATTATTATTGGCTTTATTCAATATTATATTTTTGGTACAATATAGAATTCTCAGCGCAATGTATTTCAACATGTTTCCTTTTCTTATTTCTTGATCGATCCTGACGATAAATATAGAATTATCGCCAGTTATATGTTAGCAGTTCGGGAACCGACATCTGAATAATGTTCGTTCTTATCAATGCATATTACCAGCCACCATGATGTCGCTGATTGTACCTATACAGCGAAATGTCGTAAGCTTTTCATAAGCGCGCCTGAATAGATTTTGTGCTCAATAGACATAATGATGTGTTAAAACAAACAAGAAAACAGATAAAATTTTGAAATATCGAGATGGCAGGAATAGGTAGCCCAGATATTCAACTGTAGTTTTTAACTCTTGTTATGTTCTTTGCTTCAAATTGACCAACAGTTTTGAATTGATCAAACTTTATAAAAGAATAATCTAGATTTAATAAAATGACTGTATATGCTATTCATATGAATTACTAATCTCTCTTAAAATAAAGTTTACAAATGTATTATATCAACTTACTTAGGTCTTTTTCATTTGATTTACGTAATGATATTAAAATGCACTGATTACAATAACATTCTCTATAAGGGCATGTTTTTTTATGACCTTTCCATGAAATATTTTGTCCATGATTACGACATCGACGACAATGTGGTCCATTATCTTCATTTATTTTATTTAATGATTCTTTAATGATTACATTCTTTATAGAACGATCTTTTTGATGTGATAATTTTTGAATATTATGATTTTTTTGATCACGAAATAATGCAATTTGTTGAGCTACTATACGACGACCTTTCTCAACTAGATAACACATATCACAAGTACAATCACGATATGGACAATTACGTTTATGTTGTCTAACTGGTTCAGACATACCATGTCCTTTACATTTACGACATTTATATGGTGAACGGGATAGAATACTATTAGATGATGAAGATGATGATGGTATGATTGTTTGATTCTTTACTTTTGAACTATTTTCATTATTAAATGATTCCAATAAATTCTCATTATGTATAAATGAATCATATGTATGACAACAATTATTATCAGTAGTAATGTTTTTATTTTGTAAAGATTTTAAATGACGAGTAACATTGTTGCAAGTAGTATAATTACTATTAGTATTATAATTATTAGTAGAATGATAAGTAAACTTGTGTATTGGTCTATTTGTTTTAGGTGTATGATGATATTTGGATAAAGATGAGTGTTGATCGTGGAATAAACTCATAGATTTTTCAAGTGCTATATGATTAGAAGATTTACGTCTTCTGTTGATTTCCGTTCGTAAAGGATAAGCCGATTTCGTTTGTGAAGTGTTCACTCCATCATTTTTTGATATTATAGAATAGTCACTTAGATTAGAAATGGGACAATCCAGATCCGAGGTTAGATGGGGTAGGTGTTGATGTTGTATATCATTATTCCTGTGCGAAAGTAATTATTGATTTGATTATTTGGAAGCTAGAAATATGTATGTAGAGACAAAAGATTTCCAAAGAACTATTCAAATTTTGTACATTTTCTGTAGGGGCTGGTATTATGTCAAGCACACATAGGTTATTCTAGCCTCTGGACAGACCCATCTATTCAGTCTTCTCAAGCCACATTTTTATCCTGTCACTTATTCGCTTATTAATCCTGACTGTTATTTTATACGGTTGTATGTGCGCTAATTATTTACCCTACTCATTATGCGTCTGTGACTTATTTTTGTTTGACTATAAATGTCGATTCACACTTGGGTAAATCGAGCTGGCTAACATGCTTTCTCCAATCCGTTTTGCTTCCTCACTCCATTCGTGATTGTCTGTTTTGATCAATGATTGCACAAAATATATTATACCTCCGTTTTTTACAACGCGAGTTAAGTCGATAATTATATACGAGGATTGACGGCATGTATACTTCAATACCAATCAGAAATGATCTAACTGGAGTTAGATACTGGGCCACTAAAATGTATCTAACGTAAACGGTTAGATAGTTGAGGGTAAAGTTCAAAAGATCTTAACGTTCTCTAGATAGTGTTATTTTCGAATTGCATAACTTTATTTGTAACAAACTTACGATGATTCACTTTTAGAATACAAAGTTTTACCCCAATAATTTTATCTTTGTGATGTTAGAAACTAGGTTACTTGGGTATTTTACACATTGGAATACAAGTAGGGACTGATTTTATAATTTATGTTATTCCATTATAATTAATAAAGAGAATTATATTTAAAAGTAGTCAGAAAGGTATTTATGAATTTAAAGGGAAAAATCGTGACTGATAAAGTTTAGACATGTCTTGGGTGAAGCAGTTTTCACCAATAGCAATGCATAAATAAACTGTTGTTTAGTTCTCAAATCTTTTATAACGAAAAGGTAATTCAATATCAATTTCAATATATGTTTTGATATTACTTTTCATTAATAGGATCATGTTTAAAGTAAGATTTATACTACACTATGTTGTTATAATCTGTGAAATAAATACATTTTTCCTTATTTAAATGGTAACATTAACTTCAAGTTTATTTAGATTTTAAAAATGGATAATTTTTCTCATTGACCATATAGCTAAGAGTTATTATATTCATGACTATTTCCTTTAAATTCACTTGGTGTTATTTGCTTGTATCTACCCATTGTTGTTTAGGACTGCAATTGATCAGTCTCTTATTGGCATATGTGCATACTGTGCGTATGCCTCGATATTGCCTTAAGTCACAAGTTTTATAAGCAAAGATGGATAGTGGCTAGCGGTGGTATTCAGGATGCGCGTTTCGTCCTATCTGGGACCCGTCAGTTGGATCCAGCTACATCCCAGAGTTGATGTACACTTCGGGATTACAACCCAGTACCGTTAGCTTCAAACACTATCGTGTTATCCATTTAGCTACTGAATCATGATACATATATTTCCTTTAAAGTATAACCACTGAACTTCATAATGTGAAGAAAATATTTCAATTTTAACTATTTTCTAATATTATCTTCGGTGGTTTGAAATCCATTTATACTATAAATTAGGGAACTTTAATAAATACCAAGTTTAGTTACACATATATAACAATGATCTTATTCTACTATTAAACTCATATATGAAACAATAGAATGCATTACATTCATAAAAACAAAATTGAAATCTAGTTAACAAATATCTTTAATAAGTTCATTTAACTGTGTTCTAAAAATTGTTGATATGATAAGTCTTGAGTGCTGTTACAAGTATGAGGGCGGTTATCACTTCCCGGTTGCCCACGCCGTGAAAGGGTTCTTCTGGAGGTATCTGAAAAGGAAATAGGATTAGAAGTGATCTTAGTGACCTGAGAACATGAATGCAGTGCCCAAGGAACAACTGCTTGAGATCGGTCACACACAACCTTTTTGAGTAATTTTCGTGTTAGTTTCGTACTTTTTGAGACCTTACGTCCGGAGATGGATATCCGTGGGATAAGGCGAGGTGTACATTTTTAGGGTTGACCTTTTATAACCCCACCCCTATTTGTGGGAAGGCAGCATCACTGCTATGCTGGTTGTCTGAAAGAAACACGTTACCACCGTTACTCTCCTGTACAGTCAGCAGTACGACTTCACCCTAGGACCTTGGGCTTACTTCTTTTAGTCTTAGCGCTCTTCAACCAACTTGTCTGGCATGGTAGGACCTTGAAGAACGACTGTTCCAGCCAGTATAGCCTGACAGGGAAACACGAACACCACATCAAGGTAAAAACAACGGTCGGGATGATGTGATAGAGGTTGAAACAGTGATTTCTTTTCAATGTGGAATAAGTTTTTCCTTTAAAAAATCTTCAAACTTACTCATTCAAGCAAATAAATTCTGTTGAATTTTTAGAATAATTTTTTAATAGTTGATTATTACATAATTCATATGATGAATGACAAAGAGAATTTCGTGTTTTACATTTTATTATATTAGATGATTCTTTATTCATTGTTTGTTGATTCCAATCATTTTTTGTTATAGGTTTATCTAAAAGATTTGAAGTATAAAAATGTTGTTCATTTGTAGGAGTTATCTGTTGATGGTATTCATAAGTATTATTGGTTGGTAACTGTATAGAATTATCATTATTGTTATCAGTAGTAGTAGTAGCAGTAGTAGTAGTAGTAGTAGTATTGTGATCAACGTTATCATTAATATAATTTGTTTGTGTTTGAAGATCTAAATCATTCTTATTAAAATAATTGGTTTGCATTGAACTATACACATTCTTAGTCAATTCATTATACTTTACTGGATAAAATGGATATGATTGTGTTGGTAATATATTATAATAATTAAGTGATGTATTACTATGATTATTAATAATGAGATTATTGTTATTATTATTATTTAGTAAATTTCCATCAGATACATAATATTCATCATTGACAATTGGATCATTTTGCTTTTGTACATTGAACAGTGATAAAGGTATTGATTCAAATTGTTGTGGTTCCGTTACATAATTATAACAATAATCTTTTTGATCATTTGATACATCATCACATACTATGCTTTTATTGACTGTTATTGTCCCAGTAGTATTAGTATTAGTAGTAGTAGTAGTAGTCTCAATAGTTGTTGTAAATGCAGTCGAATAAAAATTATTATTATTATGAATATTTTTAAATGGTTGGGTAACAGGTAACGCGTAAATGTAATCATTCATTGTGCAACAAATTGCTACTCTTCGTCTTTTTTCTAAAAAAAAGAAGGAATAATTGTATCTCAGTGATTTTGACGTCTGCCGCCAACTAATAACGTGAAAACATCAGATACAACTAACGGAATTATGTAGTTTTGTTAATGCGAATTTCTTAACTAACAGAAAGCATATATTGATAAGTGATGGTGGTGTATAGATATAATTGAAATAATTACATTGTAAGAATTTATAACGATTTGTTTCGAATATAAAGATCTCAATAAATTATCTACATTACTGTATTTTATATTCAACTCAATTGCTCACAGATTTAATCCTAAACACTCGCATACATATACATAATACCCAATGAATTTGTTTTTCTATCCTTTATATATATATATATATATCCCCCCTTTCACGCATTAAACATATCAGTGACATGCATTTTAGCCTTCCTTATCTTTGTATGGATAGAAACTTTATAGCACGTGTCTATACCTATGTTAGGTATGACAAACGGACGACAGATGAAACAACAAGTCTACTGCACATAACAAAAAAAACATAAAAATAACGCAGTAAAACTGTTTACTACATATGTGTGACAAGGAGAAAAAAAGCTTAGAATATAAAGGGGTTTGTAAATATGTACGTACAGATTTAATAATTGTTTGTAACAAAAACTAATCACTTCACTCACTCACTCTCTCTCTTTTTTTTAACACATACAAACATAACTTAAATTGTATAAGTATCTGTGATACAAATATTGATAAACTTTATCTAATTAGTTAGTAAATCTAAAGGAACAATTTGAACAACAACAACAACACAGTAGAAGTTACTTGAAATAAATTATAAATGATCTCCAATTTCATTGTATTACCTAAAGAAATCTAGACTTGAAAGAGAGAGAGCGAGAGAGCGAGAGACTTAAACAGAAAGATAGGTAAATCTAAATAAATGTAACAATATGCATAGATAATAATTCTATTTATCTATAATATGTAATATATAATGTGCCAATCAAATTAATTTGCGTACAAATTGTTTGTACAGTATTGAAAATTATTCATTTTTATAGTTAAATACAAATTTGTTGTAACTACATTGTAAATTTTTATGCTAGAAATTTTGTAAATGTATCAAAGATAGTTTAGAATTAATAACAAATGAGAAACAAACAAACAAACAACGAATATTTAATTAAATATTGAATTACTATAAACTGTATTATATATATGCGTTGAAAATTGATTCCTATGATCCGTTGATCATCATTCATAAATGATCGAGATCAATATAATACTGAACGTGTGAGTCAATTTCGTGGATCAGTTGAAATTAAACATTAACGCAATTGGATACCATTTCAGTGGTTTAGAGGTTTACATATGAGATCAATAGGTTCTGGGTTCGAATTTCGCCTGGCGAGATCGTGGATACATACTTCTGACGAGTCCCATAATAGGACGAAACGGTTGTTCAGTGCTTTGATGTTGAGTTTCTTTTTTTGATATCGAAGATTTTATTGATATTCTATCTCCAAAATCATTTGTTATTGAATATTCTGTATTCTTTTATTATAATGATTTTAATTTATCTTTCATTTATGAATGTTCCAACTCATGGATATATATTTAAACAAAATTGATATATTAATATTGTGACTTGAATTACAACTGGTATAACTGTTAACCATAATTGAAAAATAACTATTACCTACTACTCCATGAAAAGAAACTAAACTACTTTACTGATAAACAAAGAAGAAAATAAAACTGTAAACAACCGATGGATTTATTTATCAACCACTAATTAATACATCAATAATCATTATAATTTCCATAACATTTTAAATGATCAGTCAATAAGTAAATTTGAATGAATTGAATTAATAATTAATCAATAATTTATGTGTACATTATTTGTGAAATCAATAAATCAATTGACTAAATTGAAGAATATAATTCATCTTTAAAGTATGTATTTGGCTTATTTCTGTCACCTTTGTTAACCAAATTATCAAGAGTAGTAGAATATGTATAATCGAATGTCTATTCACTAACAGAATGATATTTTGACAAAGGATTAAATGATATAACTATATCTGTGATGTGTGCTACTGATGTTGACAGATATAAGTAATATATATCATCAATCGAAAGTGAAACACCTGGTATCAGAAGGTTAAGAAGATCGAAGAGAACTAAGCAAGAACAGAGAATGATTTATGTGGACATAAAGGAATAATAAAGTCTGAGACGACTGATTGACATTTTGGAAATGATGTATTTACTGTATGGTTCTTAGATTTCACTAAGATATTCTGTAATTTTATGTTCAAATACATTCGATTGTCCTCATTTGTGTTCTCGTTCACTACAATCCAGTGTATATGATTGAATTAATTACAAATATCTCAGTAGAATAAGTAATTATATTAGTATGCTTGATTTCTAATTAGTTATATTCTTTCTGAGTTCAGTATTTTAATTGCTAGGGGTTCATTTTCTTCCTAAGAACTATTACAATGCAGTACATAAAAATTTGCATATCACATTCTGACTTTTCCACATATTAACAAAATAATCATTTTTATAATTGACATTCCAACTATTCATTATTCATCTCTGCTTATGTTCATTTTTGATGATTATTTGGTTTACTGACTTTCAGTAATATGATATAACAAAGAACTCAGATGATATTAGTTTATCCCATGAAAAATCATACCAGGTTTAATTTTATTATTGGCTTTTTATCAACTTTGATAGTTATCACAACAATGAGAGATAAGTCAACGGAGCAAGATAATTTTAGTCTAATTACGCAAACATATTAGTTGTTCTTTTCCACCTAGTTTACCTCATAGTCGGATGCATTGACTTAAGAGGACCTATTTAAATAGCCGTGTGAATTGTGACCAAATGAAAGCCAGTTGAAGCACTTAATTAATAAAACAAAAGTGGAACTTCATTGACAGTGAGATATTTTAACTCAACCCAAGTGATATTGAGGTGGTAATCTAAATGCAGGACTGTTTGGAATTAGCCAGTATGTTTCTTAAATATTAATAGTCTACCAATTGTAGGGCATTTTCAAAATCATTTAGTAAAATCAAACATTACTTCAAATAATTTACAACACTTAGTTGAGTCATACATATACATATACTAAATGATTGAAACCAACTTTTAAAAAGACTCAAATATGTACTAGGAGCTCGATGAAACTTTTTAGCAAGATGTATCTATAGTTTTATAAGAAGAGCTCTCTAATTGATGTTCAGAGTTTCATCACCTGGTAACATCCAATAACAAACTAATTGTGTCTTCATTGAATTTCTGGAGAATCTCATCTTGTGTAACATCTACTGGTAATTGATAGATACCCTTTCACATTCTGACTTTTCCACATATTAACAAAATAATCATTTTTATAATTGACATTCCAACTATTCATTATTCATCTCTGCTTATGTTCATTTTTGATGATTATCCAGAAAAAAAGAAATCATTTTCATTCATTTAACAATATATATATATATATATATATCTTTGCTTAGAATGCCTGTGAATTAAGGTAATACGTACAGTATGGACATATGCCAATAAGCGACTGATCAATTGAAACCTTAAGCAACAATGGGAAGATTCAAGTAAACAATACTAATTGAATTTGAATTTCACCCCATTGTACAAGCAAGTGGCTATCAGAACTCAGTAGCTAAGTGGATAACGCGATAACTCTTAGAGCGAACGGTACTGAGTTCGAGTACAAGAGTGAACATCAACTCTGAGATGCAAGTGCATCCAACTGACGAATCTCAAATAGGATGAAACTCACATCCTAAATTCCACTGCTAACTACTATTTATCTTTGCTTAGAGTTTACAAATTCATTCTCTAATATTTTTGACGTGAAAGAAGAAACCTAGACAATACAAAAATGTGAATGAGGATAAAAAAAATCTTTTGAAAATTAAAAAAAAATAACAATACATACAAGTAAATAAACAATCTAGATAATTTTCTATTCAAATTAAAATTGTAACAAAAACTTATTAAATTAGTAAAACGAAAAAAAAGAACTAGGCAAGTATAATTGTAAAGAGAAAGAAATGCGTGAAATGATGTGGGTTTTTTTTTCTTTCTTCCTTCAATACTACACCTGTCGTCTATCATTAGATTTTATATCTTTTAGGCTAATGATTATATATTAGAGTAACTATAACGTTAAATTATTAAATTTTTGCAAAGTTAAACATTCATACAACTATTCAGTGTCTTCTTATTCTTGATGGTTGATGTTTTGACGGATATCACCGATGATGATGATGATGAACGATGGTTAAGTAATACCACTGACTGATTTAAGCTAGTAATGTAAGTTACCGAATGGCATCATACTGTCCTGAAAATAAAGTGTTTAATGAATGGCTTGAAGATTTTGGATTCAGTAAATGGTAGGATCTTGCATGTATACTGTTGAGGAGACCCATATGAGAACGAAACAGTTGATCAGTGCTACTTGGTTTCAATGTTTATCTGACCAAAATTAGTCCGTAATTTAAAATGTAAAGTAGGATTTACTGTCGACGTTATGAAAGACAAGAACAGTGTGATAGTAATTTAGGAACTTATATTGTTATGTGATTGACAAGGACACAAAATAGCTAATATGATTATTCGTTGTTATGGGATGAACGGATTTATATTTGCTCGTTGTTGATATTCAGAATTAAATTAATGATCAGATCTTATTGATATATCGACCCCTTGACTAAATTCCTTCATACTGTTTGTATTTACATGTTGATTGTTCTTTAAACAGTAGATTGTAGTGAAATTCAAGAAAGTTGTTTCACTCTCTTCTAAACTCATCAGCTGTATATCAAAAGAATTAATTCGATAAGGCTTAAACAAGCTTAATCGAAAGCAATTTTGGGTTAAGTAATTTAAATGTTAAGATTTTAACCATTATAATTTGTAGTTGACATTCTGTATGCATACAATCTA